TCCCAGAGTCCATCCTCCTAACCACAGCTCCACCCAGGGTGGTTGACACCAAAGCCTTTGGTCTTTTCACTATACAGTAAAGGGAAGTCACAGGGGCAGGGGAGAGGCAGGAAAGGCCCTTGCACTCAGCCACTGGTAGGAATGCTAAGTAGATAATCACTTCTGAATGAACTTTCTCTACCAAACGCCACTGGACCCTCAATAAGCACACAGGTTCTCAGGCCCTGGACACTGTTTTGCCAGCACTTTATCATTGGATCAGGGTGCAACTCAAAAACTCACTAGTTTCTCTAAGACTACTGAGGCTCTTCAGTGCCTAGAAGTCTCCCAGGGCATTTCTCCAGCAATTACAGAAAGTTTTCAGAATTTTTACCCCTTTTAATCCCCTGGCTTTGGAAAGTGCTAGAACATTAAATTTAGCTTTTGTCACTCAGTCATCCCTGGATATCACAGAAAAAAACAAGAATAAGAAACTCCAAAAACTGAGAACTTTGCATGGATAAATACCTTCCAGTTCTGCAAAGTGGCCCAAAGTTTTTCAATAATCAGAAAAGCAAAAGCCAGATGCTGATCCAGTCACAGGCAGAGATTCCATTGGCAGCTTCCTGCTGCTTTTGTCCAAGGCAGAGACTCCCACAGACAATGGAGAAGAACACGAAGCCTGAAGGGGACCAAATGACTGTTGTAAGAAAAAGGAACAATGGAGGAATGACTGTCCCATTCATCTTCCCAAAGCCAGGAGAGTTTGGGAATAGAAAATTACCTTGAAGAACATCTTATACACTATTCTATTGCTGTGAACAGACACCATTAGAGAGGCAGCTCTTGTAAGAGAAAGCATTTCCTGGGACTTGTTACAGTTTCAGAGGCTTAGTCCATTATAATCATGGCAGACTGCATGGTGGCATGCAGGCATGCTATTGGAGACTTAGCTGAGAGCCACACCCTGATCCACAGGCAGTGACAGCAAGACTAGGTCAAGCATGGGCTTTTGAACTCTCAAAGCCCACCCTTAGTAACACACTGCCTCCAATAAGGCCACACCTCCTAATCCTTCTAATCCTATCAAAGAGTTCCATTCTCTGGTGACTAAGCATTCAAATATGTGAGTCATGAGGGCCATGCTTATTCAAACCACCACACAGGGAGACTGTGAAAGTCTTAGACCCAGTATAGGGGAGGAAATTGCCTTTCTGGAGAAAACTGATTCCTTAACACAGAGAGATGTGTAAGGAGCCATTGAGTAAGCCCCAACTACAGTTCCACCACCACCTTTTGTCTTTGTAGAGAAGTGGAAACAGGGACAATAACCAGAGTGACAACCTCCATCTAGGAATAGTCTACACAACCTGAGAGGAGAGAAAGAAGGTCTCTAACAAATTTTCAAAGCTGAGTTGTGCCTTAGAACAAGAAAGTAATAGGAGCAGAGAGGTTGTAGAATTGCATCATTGAACTCAGAAAGCTGAGAGTCTTTACTATGGAGGAGCATCTTGGGGTAAGCAGAGACCAAAGATGCAGAGCAAACTCACAGCACTCATGGGCAAGATGACCCAGTGGTAAAAGGACTTGACCCCTAGCGTGATGCGCTGGATTGTGTCTTGTCAACTTGACACGATGCTGAAATCATCTGAGAGGAGGGAACTTCTGAGAAAATGCCTCCGTGAGATCAGAATATTGAGATGTGGGCAAGCCTGGAAGGTATTTCTTTCAACTAGTGATTGATGTGGGAAGGCCCCATTCATTGTGGGTATTGCCACACCTGGGTTTGTGGTCTTGGATCCTATAAGAAAGCAGGCTGAGGAAGCCTTGAAGAGCAATCTAGTAAGCTGCACTTTTCCATGGTCTCTGTATCAGCTGCTGCCTCTGGGTCCAGCCCTGCTTTAATGTCAGCCTCAGCTTCCCTCAATGAACTGTGACAGGGGATACATAGTCAAATAAACCCATTCCTCATCAAGCTGCTTTGGTCATGGTGTTTCATCACTGCAATAGAAACCCTAACAGAGACACAAGACAACTAAGTTCCAGCCACAGAATCTACTGGGGGATAGGTCTCACTGGAAGAGGAAAGAGATCTGCAAGAGGCTCAGAAGAACAGAGCAGTGGAGATCCTGTGGACAGAGCATCTTAACTGTGGACAGATGGATCCACAGTAGCAGACCTTGTAGCTGACTGCTGCTGGACTTGTGAGAGCTTGACGGGGGCCAATGCAGACAGGTTCTAGTGGTCCTTTGTCTTATGGGAGGATGGTAAGATGGATCAAAATTCCCATATTTATAGTGATATTTTGTTTGTGTTTAACAAACAAAACTTGCCTGAGAGGTGCAGAGCTAAAACACTAAAGGACAGACAGTGGTGGCATTAACCTTTAATCCCAAGATGTGGGGGACAGACAGATCTCTTAGTTTAAGGCCACCCTGGACTATACAAAATTGATCCAGTCTAAAAGAAAAACAGAGCTCACACAAAAGTGATCCCAGCACTGAGGATCACAGGCCTTTAATTCCAACACTAGGGAGGTAGAGACAGAACTGATATGGTTGGGTAGAGAGAGGAATATAAGGTGTGAGGAGACAGGGCTCAGTGCAGTCTGAAAAGTACTGCAGTTTGATGCAGTCAGTCTGAGAAGGCAGTCTGAGAACAGGCTCGCCCCTGTGGTCTGAGCATTTGTAGAGGTCAGAACTCTAGTGGCTGGTCTTTTCCTTCTCTGATCCTTCAGCTTCCACTCCTCCTCCCACCCTCCCCCAATAGCTGACTCTGAGGTTTTATTATGAACATCAATTGGAAACCATGCAACACGTGTTGGTTAGAGGAGGCTACAGAAAAGGTTTGTTTGTCTTGGAACTCCAGATGCCCTTGATGGTCACCGTGCTAAAACATGAGACAGATACTGAGTCTCAGGATGTAGTGAGGGTCCATGTCAAAGTAGGGCTGCAGACTCCGAGGCCCCAAAAAGTGTAATATGGATGAGAGTGGACAGAACAAGAGTCTTAGTGTGAGCTTAGTAAGACCTCCTAGGAGTTAGATAATCTGGTAGGGACAAGGGATGAGGGGGACTTAAGGAGGGTGAGGGAGGGCAGTGCAGAAGAAGGTGGGAGGAGGGTAAAGGGGAATATCAGAATTGATACAATTGTGTTGATAGGAAAATACAGAAAATGAGGCCTCCTTAAGGAAGGTGTAGGGAAGGTGAATACAGGAGAAGGAACAAGGGAGGTAAAATAACAACATGATGGCTGGAAGAGTCACAAGGACTCTTAACATTAACTATTTACCTAAAAAACACAAATGTAATTCAGGGTATAACTATGTATATGTAGTTTTAGTGAACACTTTTTTTTATGTGTGTTGATGGCACTTCCTCCAAAAGACTACCTAACAAAACCCCAATACTAGGCAAAAGGACCCTCTTTTGAGTTGTTGGTCAGGGCTGTCTAAAAACTCCCAAAGCATACGGCCTATTGCTGTTGCTCTTGTTTACCCAACAGAGTTGGAAGGTAAGACTCTACTGCTGAAGACACCATGCACTTTAGAAACAGGACTCAGAGGTCCCTGAGCTGCAACTGACCTAAAGTCACCTCCCTGAGGGACTAGTTTCTTAGTTCCAAAAGGTGCCATGCAAGTTTCCAAAGGAGAGAGGCATCCAACAGTTCCACCCATTAATTGATGTCTATGGACCACATCAGTGAGCAGCATGCTACAGTAACCCTTATAGGTGCAGTACTGGCACACATACCTTGGTGGTAACCAGCAGCTCTGTCACTGAACTAACACCTGCTCAGCAAGAGGGACATCACGTCTGCATGGTACTGGACACCTACTTAGTACTTAGTAGGTACTGCATGGTACTTAGTGCTGAGGTCATGGTTATTGGGGGAGAATCCACAACCACTAATTTACTAAACCAGCATAATCTCTAACAGCAATCTATAAACATTTATCCTTAAACACATGCATAAAGGTATTCTTCACCCCCATTAAGGAAACTTCTCTTTGGAGAGGATGGAGACCTTTATAGAAAACCACAGTCAATCAATATGCAGAGTTGTGGAGCCCAGTCCCAAGGGCTGCTTCCTCAAAATATTCCACACCTAAGACTCAGGACAGAATGAATAAGAGGGGATAGAATTCCAACATGGGTCCTAGAAGAGCAGTCAGTGCTCTTAACCTCTGAGCCATCTCTCTAGGCCCCAGAATCTGTTCCTAATTGGAATAATTTTGTGATTGCCAAATTTTCTGAGGTCTTAAGTTCCAGTGTCACAGGGTCGAGGAGGAAAGCACAGCCTTGCTGACAAGATAGTAATTGTCTTCCCTGTGTGAGGGTGTGGGGATGAAAGAAAAAGATGGAGGTGGAGAGGGAGAATGACTCAGGCTATAAGGGGATGGGGAGTGCTGGGTCCCTAGCCAATAATCAGGACAACAATTAACATAAGGGGGGAGGATAGGGTTGAGAGGAAGAAACCTGGTGGAGAAAGTGAGTCTGGGATTGAGATGCAAAAAGCGGGAAGGTGATGGGAAGTGCAGAAAGACCAGCTGAGTATTGGAGGGGAACTCAGACAGCAGCAGACAGCGTGGGGGGGGGGGGTAGGTAGGGAGAGTGAAGAGACACGGGTGTAAAGAAGGTATGTGTCATAGACTCTGGAGGGACACTCCTGGGCGTGACTCCAAGTTAGGCCGCCAAGATTGGAAACACGTGTTGCTTTTTGGTGTCATGCCATAACCTGAACTGCTTTTTACTGAATGCCAAATACCAGAAACTGGAAAGGCAGAGCCTGGTTGGTTTTCTGGGAGGGAGCAGGAAGTTTAAAAGGCTGGGGATTGGATGCCACTCTCTCATGTGTTGGCGAAGTGCGGTTAAAAGGCAAGGGAGCTACTCCCTGCTCTCAGTGAGTCCCCATTGAGAATTCAGTCTGGTGCCTGGCACTTTTGTGAACCCTCTGCAGGGCAGCACTGAGACCTCAGCGCTTCTCTCCACAACTCTGGTTGCTGAACCTGTTGCTCAGGGTATGGCAAAGAATGCAGCAGCTGTGCACCGTCTTTCCACCAAGGCTCTGTGCTTTTCTGTTCTGCTGATCTGTCTGATCTGTCTGAAGTCACCCACAGGTGAGTTGCCTTGGTCTAACCTGAGGGGTGCAGGGAGGAGGATGGAGAGGGGAGGGAACTGGCTATTGAATCCCAAAGTAGCAGTCCTCCTCTGGGAAGCTGCCGGACCCTCAGAAAGGGGCACTTGCAGAAATGCTGCCCTTGAGGCGCACTGTCCCTTGTCCTGCCCCTACCATGCTCAGGAAAGGAGAAAAAAAAATACCAGACTGGGACCAGTCAGGAAGACAAGATGCCAGGGCAATAGTAGTGACACAGTGGGCATTCCCCTGTGCTGGAGTCCACAGGAAGGCTAAGCAAGTCAGGAGGACATGAGGTGATAAGCACAGTGCCAGACCCGGCCAAGAAGCTCAGACAGCTCCCTTGGATTTAAAGCAGTCTGTGCTCTGAAGACTGTCTTCCCAGGGGATTCCGCAGGAGCCCTCCTCCATTCCTGAGCCTGAGTCCCCTGGAACTTTCTTTCCCATCATTCCACCCTTTATTCCAGCAGGTGACAAAGGATGCTTCTTGGAACACAGCAGCCACAACCACCCTCGTTCTCACTTTTTACACTTTTATTCTTGCTGTTGCTTTGTTTTACTGCAGGACTTCACATCATAGCCAACACTAAAGTTTGCAGCAATTCCTTCTCTCTCTAGATCTGTCAGATGCTGGGATTACAACTTTCTCCCACCAACCTTCAGTTTCAATTCCATGAGACTCATCAACCACAAGCCGGCTCAGAGCCCTTCCCTGCCCAAATACCCTTTCCCACTCCCCATCCACAAAGTGCCTTTCAGCCCCTTTTCCACCAGGTGACAATCTGTGGATTAGCACCTCAGCTAACCAGGGCTGACTATAGTGGATTCCAGGAATGGAACTGGGTAGGGACATGTGGAAGGCTCTGCCCTGGCATCCTGGGCCCATGTAGTCTACCTCCTAGAGAAATGTTATCTAATAATGCTGTTCCTTTAGGCAGGAATAGATTTGGGCTTTGTGTTTTTGCTTGTTTTGTTTTTCTGGAAACAGCAGGCACTAAGTTTCTTCCACTTGGCAAGCTTCACTCTATCTTCCTGCATCAAATACTCAATTCTACATTTAGTGTGGCAGACTCGGAAGGCAGCGAGCTGATGAATGGGACAGCAGATTTGGTCTCCATCACTCTTCTGACCCCAGATTAGGGTATACCCCATGTACCAGTATTGGTGCCCATCCCTTCCGAGTGTGTTTAAATGCACTGTGCAAGCTGCATGCTTCCCAGACAGCAGTGGGTTCTGTGCTGCCTATGACATCTGGGTCAGCTAGAAATGACAGGGGGAGGGCCTGGATTTAGGGCCTCCTGATCTCTCCATTTCTGTCCTGTGAATTCCTTGGATTTCACGTCCATAGAGAACACTTTTCAAAGCCCAAGGTGCTTGCTGAGGGAGAGGTGGCAGCTTACTTCAGAACTAACTTGAGTTACTTTCTCTAGATGAGGTAAGATTTCCACAACCATCTGGGGGAACAGGAGATGTTCTGTCAGACAAGAGTCCTTTTCTCTTCCTGCAAGGCAGCTCTCGACACACAAGTGATTTGTTATTTCCCTGCAGTGATGTCTCTCTTCTGGACATCTTATCTGACTGTGACCTGCCCACTTAATAACCTAGTAGGAAAGACTTCACCTCATGATGTCTACCTGACGTTGATGGGCCTTCTGATAACCCAGACCCAGAGGTTGCTCTCACCAGGATCCAGAACCATGCCAGGAGCCACAGTGAATTAGAGTGTATTATCCTTGCTGCAGGTGGGTCAGGCTGACTCCTACCCAAGCAAGGCGATTTTCCAATTAGACACTGCCATGAACTCTGCACAGGGCATTTTCTAGGACTGACACCTCTGACTGACAGTGTCCTGGGTCAAAGGTTCCTAGAGGCAGGTCCAGCCATGCTCTTCACGGTTGTATTGTCTCTGGCTGCTTTCAAGCTCCAAGAGCAGTTACTCCAAGGTGTAACAGAGACCGTCTGTCCTGTGAAGACTTCAGTAATGATATAGTAGCCGTGTTAGTCACTTTCTGCTGCTGTGATGAACACCAAGGCCATGGTCACACAGAAGGAAGGGTTTGGGATCGTAGAGTTTCAGAGTGACAAGAGTCCATCACCTCACCACGGAGAAGCTTGACAGTTGGCATTCATGGTGTCTGGAGCATCAAGCAGGCAGCATGGCAGCATGCAGGCATTGTGAGGTGAGCCGTAAACATATTTTTAGTTCAGCTTGCTCTAGTATGATTTAGCTTGGGTTTCTGAGACAAAGTCTCACTGGCTGTCCTAGAACTCACTGCAGAGAGCAGGCTGGCCTCAAACTCAGAAAAATTCACCTACCTCTGCCTCTCAAAGCTGACATGAGAGCCAAGTGATAGCATGCCCAACTGAGAACAGATATCTTAAACTTCAAGCAAGGTCCAGAGATGAAGAAATGAGAATGGGTTTGAAAGCCATACCGCAGTGTCATACTTCCTTCAGCCAGGCCATACCTCTGGAACCTGCTACCTATGGGAGCAAAGTATTCAAACACCCTACTCTATAAAAGACAGGTTCACTCAAATAACCAAACCAGACATTCACAAAAGCATCTCAGGGTTGGTATCTGAGTGACAAGGAAGCAATACAGAAAGAATGAGTGCACTTTGTGGGGACAAAATATCTCTCCTGTTGGGGTCTGATTGGTCCTCCTAGAAAGATAATCTCAGTATGTCTTGGAGGTTGTTCAGCTTTAGCTGTTTTTTAGATTTATTTGTTTTAACCACATATATGTACGTATTATGTGTACCACATATGTGCTGGTGGCCTCAGAGGTCAAAAGAGGTCGTTGGTTCTCCTGGAACTGGAGTTTCAGGCAGTGGTGAGGCAGTATGTGTGGTTGCTGAGACTCAAACGTGGATCCTCTGCAAGAGCAGACAGTGCTTACAACCACTGCACCACCTCTCAGACCCAATGGTTCAGTTTAAACAATGAGCACAGAAGCCTGGGATTTTCGTGGGACAGCAGCTATCAGCTTCATGATTGACTGTTCTGTCTTTCATTACTAAAATTTAGTCACATGTGGATTGGCTAATCACTTATCTGTATTTAGAATTTTGGTGTTCTGTTAGTCATGACTCTCTGAAGCAGTTAGGCTTCAAAGTGGGTCCCCCTACTCATAAACAGACCACTGTCCTTGATGTTACTGCCTCTTGACCAGTGCACCTGATGGGATTTTTCTTTACCATATTTGCTGGGATTCAGGAACACAGTTTCTTAACACCACCTCAGCCTTGAGTCATCACCATCATCTCTGAGCTTCCAGCATTGCTGGTGCCCTTCTCTCTGGTCCTTCTTACTGTGCTTCTCAGCATCCACAGACAACATGGACTCTGCACTCTTCCCCTGGAAATGTTTGCTGTTTCATCTACTCTGGCACATGCACTTCTCTGAGACTTTTGATCCCCATTCTTCTACTGCCAGATTTAACCAGCCTAGATCTTCTGTGTCCTGTAGTGTGGTCTAGCCTTTGACCAGGTCCAGGAAGCCATCCTTGGACCACTGCAGTACACAGGAGATCTGTGTGTGTTGTTGTTTTCATTGTGTTGCTGGGACAAACACTGTACCAGAAGCAGCTTGAGGGGAAAACTGATTTATTTGACTCCGACTTCTAAGCCATAGTCTGTCTCTGAGGGAGGTCAGGACAGGTACTCAGAGGCAGGCCCACGTGCTATTCCACACAGCATTATCTAGAATCAAGAAATTTGCTTCACTGTCAGAGAGGCACAGCAGGAATCATAGAGGATGCTGCTTGCTGTCTGGTTCTCTAGCTCCTGCATAGCAAGATTTCTAATCCAGCAACAGACCAAGTGCCCAGGGAATGGTAACACCCATGGTGGCCAGATATTCCTACAACATGAAGAGTCAAAACAGCCCCTCAATGCACGCTCCCCCCTAGGTGACTCTAGGCTGGGTCACACTGACAGCTTGATTACCAACACAGATGTCCAAGTCTATGATCTGAGTACAGATCAGTAAAAATGGTGTCCATGCAACCTCTGTCCCATCCTCACCCTGCTCACTCTGCCCCTCCAGCCTCACACACCATCCTGTCTCCACATGGTCTCCATGAGCAGCTTCTGGAGATTCTCCAGGGTGAACAGATCCAGAGAAGACATCCTCAATTTTCCTGCCATCACTGACAAGGCCAACTACAGCAAAATCATGTGATAACAGATTAGAGAATTGTTCTGGTGGGGAGCAGGGTTTGGCCACACCTTGACCTGCATCCTCAAACAAGAGAGAATGACGGACTATACTTTACTTAACACAATGCAAGTTCAAGTTTAATTTTATTTACTTATTTTTATCTTTTTAAAGACTCCCTTCCAGAGGACTTTCCTGTTCCACAGACAGAGACTGTCTCTGAGCCCCTGATCCACATCCCTAACCTCACTGCATGTTTCTTTCACAGATGCTGCTTCTCTTTGCTACAGCTTCACTGTTGGCAGGTCAGGGTCTGGGCTGTGGTCCCACAAAGTCCAAGGACAACTGGATGAAAAGACTTTTATTACCTGTGACAGTAACAACTGCTGTGCCATTGGTGGTCTGGGGGAAATACTAAAGACCATACAGTCCTGGGAAACACAGGTTGACACTCTGAAAGATGGAATTAACTGCGTCATTGACCAAGCACTTCTCATGAAGCAGGAGACTGATACAACCAGAGGTGAGTTTCAGATGGTCCCATAATTCAGGATATGAAACTCAGTGATAGAGTGCTTGCCTAGCATCCATGAGGACCTAGGTTCAATCCCCACTGTTACAAAGTAAATAAAAGAACGATCAGATGGGCAACTGAGGGAAAGAACAGGACTTGTGATTGGCTAGGGACATTCATTGTTTTCATGGAGGAAAGAAATGAATTACTGGTAGCCCCTCCCACCTCAGAGGTCCAGCACCAATGGTAAAATGTGGACGGTCAGAGGATGGGAAGGGAGGAGGGTAGGTAGACAGGATTCATCAAAGCCAGAGGCTGATCCCTTTCCAATGGGCACAGAGCCCTTCACTGTGCAGGTCAAGCAATGCTGTTCGCATGAAGCAGATGGACTTTCCTATGCATCCTGTGACTTACACCTCAATGGACACAAAGTGGGGTATCTTCACCCAAGCACTGGAAAGTGGACGGAAGTTGATCCTGGATCCATGAGGATAAAAGAGATGTTGGAGAAAAACAAGGATTTAACAGAGTTCTTATCCAGGACCTCACAGGGGGACTGCAAGGCCTGGCTTAAGGAGATGATCAAGTCACTCTTGGAAGAAAAGCTGGAGCCGACAGGTAACCGGGAAGAAGATCTCTAGAGATGAGAAATGTGTGTGTGTGTGTGTGTGTGTGTGTGTGTGTGTGTGTGATAGTTTAATCACTATACGTTCTTGAGTTTATGCTCATTTTTTTCCGTCGGTCATTTCCATTCTCACCCTCTCCTATCGTATTAATTGTGTTTATAGTGTTCTCTCACTGTAGTTCTCCCTGGCTATCACAGCATAGCAATCCTTTGTTTTCTGGCCTTTTCCTCATTTTGGATTCACTGTTACTTTTCATCTCCCCTGATCTGTCTTCTTCCCTGACACCGTCCTCACAGGTCATCCTCATGCCTGCTCTCCTGCCAGCAGGAATGATGAGGCCCCATCAATACCCTGATTCCCCTACCATAGCTGCATGAGTCCTTTGTGGTCAGGGAACGTGCCTTCTCTACCTTCCTACTTGGGACCCACCAAACAGCTGTTGCATAGCAACAAGGGTGGAACTCTCTGTGTTGCTGAATTATCAGAGGACCCAGAAGCAATGGTGAGATTTTTCTCTTGATTTCAGGTCTGGTCAAAGACACAGCTGATATTTTCACATCAGCCTCACCAACCATTGCCCCAGATGTGGACCAGTCTTCATCCACGACCATGGAGCTCAATGCCTTTGTCTTGCTGTTCACCTTAGCCCTCCTGGTTCTCTTAAAATATCTGCAATGACAGGTACTCAGGGCGGGGCTGGGAGTGGTGTAAGGGACAGACGGGTGAGGAGTGAGGAAGCAAGAGTGAATTCCTGAAGTCACGATCTTGTCCCTCAACTGTAACCTAACTTACTGAGAAAGGAGGCAGGAGATCTGGAGTTCATGTCACCTGCTAGCATTAGCTTGTGCGTGGTCAGCCTTCACAAGACAGGAATAATGTCACAGAGCAGTGGGAAGTGAGGAGGGAACACAGTCGGTGTGTGTTCAGAGCAGGTTCCCAATCAGGAGGATCCCTTGATGCACATGTGGAGACAGCAGAAACACAGAAGAACATGGTAGTTTGGTATGGGAGAATTGTCTGTATTCTGTCAATCATGTTTTAAATAAACGCTGATTGGCCAGGCGGGAGGTGTAGGCAGGAAAGCCAGACAGGAAGTGGAAATTATGCAAGGAGAGCAGGAGAATACTGGGAAGGAGGAAGCTGATTCCTCCCACTCCTGCCCAGATCACAGAAGCAGCAGGATGTGATCTGCCCCACTGAAAAAGGTACTGAGCCACATGGCTAAAATAGATTAGAATAATGGGTTAGTATACGTTACAAGAACTAATAAGAAACCTGACCAAATGGTCCAATCAGCTTTATAACTTACGGAGTCCTCTGTGTTATTTTCTTTTGGGGCTAAACAGCTGTGGGAACCAGGCAGGACAGAAAACCCCAACAAACAGGACCCTTCATGTTACAGTAGTTTCTTTTAATATATAGAAGGAAGAGGATTTCACCCCACAGGCAAAGTTAAAAAGATATAAATAAAAAGATGATCCAGTGACAAGAACGCCTGCTGCTCATGCATCAGACACAGGTTCTGTTTCCAGCACCCACAGGGCAATCACAACCATACAGCTCCAGGTCCAGGGGATCCAGCCCCTTCTTCTAAACAGACCGCAGGCATTCACACAGTGCACATATAGGCATGTAGGCTCACATGCACAGATAGAAACTAGATATAAATCAAACAGCAGCAACAGCCTCCAGAACCCTGGGAGCAGTGTCCCTACTGGAGGCCAGTGGACTGAGCTAGTGCTGGTGTCTACTGTTCCTGTCTGGGCTGCTTAGATGGACTTGGTTGGACCGGGACTGTCACACCCATCAGCCCCTGAGTCAGGAAGCAGAGCTGGTCATCACCACTTTATTCTGATCTCCAGGTCTATAGCAGGGCCTGGGGCTCTGGGACAAGGGAAAGAAGAAGGAAGACAGTAGGGGATCCAGGATGGAGAGCCCAGGGGTGATGGTGGAGGGAACTGAATGACCCTCAGTGAGGGTGACTGTGGGTGGTGATGACTGGTACAGGGCACCCAGGGGAACTGACCCAGGCTCTCCTCAGACCCTTCAAAAGATGTGTTTCCTTGTTGTAGGTTGGAGATGCTCCAGAGAAGTCGTGAGAGTTCATCTGGTGCCACCACTCTCCCTTCCATCAGCCTCCACCAGATGATCGGGATGCTGCAGACACAGCATTTCAGGGTCTTTCACTTTGCGTTTGTTGCTTAGAGTCTTTTCTTATCACTTTATACTGTTTGACTTGGTGCTTTCTGATGGGTTGAACCCTCATCATGGAACTACTTGTACTAGTGATCTGTAAAGGATTTTGTTATCCTAGCATAGGAAACAGGATAACTGGATCTCCTTAGTGGGAATGTAAAGCTTTTACTCTTGCATATATAACTGGCAATAATCAAATATCTCAGATATCAAAAGGAAACTTCTAACAACTAATCATAGAAAGCAGAAAATGAGGGCCAGTTGTTCAGTAGAAATCATTGGTAACTGTAAAAGGGACCCAGATTTTTAGCAAAAGTGACTCCATGATGGAAGCACCATTCTGGATGTAAAACTCAGCATATAGAAAGCACTACCTGCAAAAACTCAAATAAAGGTCTAGTTCATCCAAGTCTCTGAATGGATTAACCTTGCTTTAGGCTTCTGTCCTTCCACTTCTGCCAACTCTTCTGTTAACTGAGGTACGTCCATCCAGAACATGGTTTTTCTGCTTAAAGGCTCTCCCCAAGAAAGGCTCAGGGCTACACTGGGACCCTAAACACCCAGTGTAGTTGCTGATCAGCAAGTAATAAGTTTCTAGTGACGTAAATCCAAGTCTGAGCATTCTACTCTAATGAATGCCCTATCACATTTCCCTCAGAGCATCCTGGGCAATACCTCAAGACACTGAAGATCTCAGGGTCCCTTAGAGGAAGGAAGACGGGTGGTCAAGAAGCTCCTAGGGCAGTGGTCCTCAACCTGTGTCTCACAACTCGCTTTAGGGGCTGAAGGGCCCTTTCAAAAGGGTCACACACCAGATACCTTGCATATCAGATATTTACATTATGATTCAGACAAGTAGTAAAATTACAGCTATGAAAGAGTATCAAGAATAATTTTATGGTTTGGGACCAAAAACAATATGAGAAACTGGATTAAAGGGTTACAGCATTAGGAAGAGCAGAACCAATCGTCCTGGGGCTGTGCAACCTGAGTTCCAGGTTCTCAGGTCTCCCGTTGATCAATTGTTGCATAAGGCTTCAGAGGAGTCTGACATCCACCCCAAAAGGAAACAAAATTAGAATGTCACCTCCAGAGGTAAGTCTAGTTAAGGCGACATCTTTTTGGACACATGGGAAAGGTCCAACAAGGCCATTGGTTCAATGTCAGGAGCCTGTGGGATGTCACTGGATTCCCCCTGTCTGTTCAGGTGTAAGAATGTGTGGTGGTCATCAGTGGTTGTCTGCAGTCTCTGTGTGTATCTGGGTGTCTGCGTTTCTGTCACTTCTTGCTCTCTCTATTAACCAATGCTTTCTCTGGTATAAGAAACCCCTGGCTTAAGACCCTTCTGTTGGGGACCTAATCTTTTTTGGTTCTGCCATGTCACCTAGAAAGAAACACAGAAACAAACAAAACAACAGAAACAATAACCATCCACCTGTCTCAGTCCCTGAGAGGGAGCACTTGCTTGGCTCATTGTTTGACTCCTGCTCACAGTCACGGTTGGTCTCTGTGTGGAGAGGCCAAGTTTCTCATTCAAACCCTCTGCATCTAGGTACAGGTTAGTCAATGACTTGCAGACTTCTCTGTTGGTGTACAGGGCTAATTACTTTCAGATTCGGAGTCTGGAGCTTTGGATTTCACTGCAAAATCTTTCCAGACAGAAACCTTCACCTGCCCATGAACTGTCCCATCAACTGCTACAGTAAGCCACAGAGGAAAGAGAGGCCAATGGAGCCAAATGGAGAGTTCCCCAACCAGGCCACCAAAATGTTGTCCCAGGAGGATAAGCCTAAGGCATGAAAGTAAAGGCATTCACTAAGCCAGACATCTACATCCCCACATTCAAGAATCAGGAAACCACTTACAAGAGGGGGAAGAAAGGATGTGAGAGAACCCTGTGTTCCAGCCATGACATTACTGCTGCACTGCTGAACTCTCAGCAGCTCTGAGCACTTGCATGATCCCTGCACAGGAGCAGGCCTGTCAGCCTTCCCTTCATGGAGAGAGAACGGTCATGACGCGCCAGAGATCCTTGGAATCTATCTGCAGTTAATGGTGCCAGATCAGGAGAGATGTTTTGTTCAGTAGTGTGACCCCTTGTAAGAAGCCTATGTTACTATCAATAACGCCTCACCCTTGCATCTATAAATAACCCCACATGAAATCATGGCCCCCCAAAATTTTTAAAGAGTGGAGGGAGAGTAATTGGGATGAGAAAGCAGCTAGAGAGTGGGAATGGGACATGAGAAGGAATAGAAGGGTTGATATGACCAAAATACCTTAAACACATATATGGAAACAGTTTCTATGTGTCATTAATGTGCTAGGACACTGTTTAATATTGTTTAGCTTTTACTTTTAATATGTATGAATATTTTCCTATGTGTATGTAACATGTGTACCTGGTACTTGGAGAAGTCAAAAGTGGGCATCGGACTCTCTGTAACTGAAAATAATGTCTAGTAATAAAAAACACAAGCACATTGTTTTAATAATCATGTACTGTTTTATTGTAATGGCCAGTTAAGTAATCATTTGTAGCAATGTATTATTGAATCTTGGTGAGAGGGACTCACAGGTTCTTCTAACAAAGATGTCAGTTAATAAAGCAATAATGAATAAAACTGGTAAATGTAAAGTATGTGCTGAATAGTTTTATGGCAACTTAACATAGCTAAAGTCATCTGAGAGGGGGGAACCTCAATTTAAAAATACTTCCAACAAATCAGGCTGTAGGCAAGCCTGTGGGGCTTTTCCTTAATTACTGATCAGTTGCAGATGGCCCAGCCCATGGTCATAGTCGTTTTCTATAAGAAAGTAAGCTGAGAAAGCCATGAGGAACAATCCAGTAAGCAGCATCCAGCCATGACCTCTGCGTCAGCTCCTGCCTCCAGATTCCTGCCTTGTTTGCTTCCTGTCCTGACTTCCTTCAACTGATGAACACCAATTTGAAAATGAAAGCTAAATAAACCCTTTCCTCCCCAAGTTCCTTTGGTCATGATCTTTCTTCACAACAAGAGTAACCCTAAAGAAGACAAGTTGGTAGCAAGACATGGACAAGGGTTTTGGGGAGGATTGGAGAAGGACTTTGGATGTATGGGCTGGAAAAGTCATCAACTGTTGAGAGCTCACTGAGCCGTTTTTCAGGAGTTGGGGAGACAAAGTGTTGAGAGAGTGCAGACATTGGAGGCCTGGATGGGATGTCTGGGAAAACAGGTTGTTATGAAAACCACAGGATATAGATATATTTATCAATTTATTAAGGAGTGCTATGAGGAAAACAGACTCATAGGTTCATGGTGCAGGAGAATTGTCTGTATTCTGTCAATTATGTTTTAACTAAATGCTGATTGGCCAGGCAGGAAGTATAGGTGGGAAAACCAGACAGGAAATAGAAATGATGCCATAAGAACAGGAGAATTCTGGGAAGGAGGAAGTTGATTCCTCCCACTCCTGCCCAGATTACCAAAGCAGCAGGATGTGATCTGTCCCATTGAAAAAAGTACTGAGCCACATGGCTAACATATATCAGAGCAATGGGTTCATATAAGCTACAAGAGCTAATATGTAGCCTGACCTAATGGGCCAAACATCTTTATAACTTATAGAGATCTCTGTGTGATTTTCTTTGGGGTTTGCCAGCTGTGGGAAACTGGGCAGGACAGAAAACACAAACAAGCAGGCCGTGATCATGTTACAGGTTCAGGACAAGGTATACCCAGTTGCAAAATCCTTCTGTTCTACCCAAGGGAGCTGGGAACCAGCCACACACTGCTTCAAGCTGCCTGACCTGGTCTTCACAACCATTGAGAGCACGTGTCTTTGTCTCTCTCTTTTTACGAAGTCAGGCCCTAATGCCCTATCCCAGGTACCCCAAAGTTATTGGTGGAGTGAATACAAACAGTAGCCAACTCTACTGGGAAATTTGAATTAAGAATCAATGGTTCTGGGTAGCTGCAGTCAAAAAAATCTGCTATGATTCACAAGGTACCAGAACCACTAAGGTAAGTCCTTTGCTCTGCTGGGATACTCAATGCTGATCAGCTGGAGTTGAGAAATTAGCAATGATTACAAAGATACCAGCATCTTAGAGGTGAGGTCTTCTGAAAAGTGTTTCCTGAGAGTCATCACACACAGGCTGTGTTCCAGACATGGCCAAGCTTGTACCTTGTGCTGGCAGCTGAACTTGGTGGTGTAAGAACCACCCAGGTGGTGCTAGTTCTAAAGGTGTGAAAGTGTCATGGGGGCTAGGCACTGTGTAGCAGGACTGGACTCCATGGAGAGAGCCCAGAATAGGCTACTAGGGAACGTGCAGTTGTAGCAGAAGACCCCCGCATTTTGGAGATGTCAGTACCATGGGATGACCCCTAGGAACAGCAGCAGCAGTGGAATTGAGCCAGACAGAGCTTAGAAGACCAGCTGTGTGTGCCACAGAGGGCGAGCTGCAAAAGGAACTCGAGAGTTGATGGTGTGCAACACATAGTTCAATCATGGACCCTGTGTCAGGTCCTCACTGGGGACGCCACCACTGGGCCTGTTCTCCAAAAGAGTTTCTGGGGAAGTTAGACTCATAAAGGCAGACTAAGTGCAAAATCTAAGGAACTGAAGAATGTAAGACCTTGAGGGAAGAAAGAAGGGTTTTAAAAGGCCCAGCTGAACAACCTGAGACACAAAAGCGCATGTCATCCCCAAAGAACAGCAGAGATGGAAGCTGCCTTGATCAGTGTTCTATTGCTGTGTAGAGACCACATAACCATGGAAATTCTTATAAAGGAAAAATCTGATTGGGCCTTGCTTACAGTTTCAAAGGTTTAGTCCATAGCCATCATAGCAGGGAGTCTGACAGCATGCAGCAGACATGGTGCTGGAGAAGGACCTGAGAGGTCTACATCAGGACCCACAGGCATAGGAAGAGAGAGCCACTGGGCCTGGCTTGGGCTCTGGAAAATTTAAAGCCCATTCCCCAGTGACACACTTCCTCCAACAAGGCTACACATACCATAAAAAGTACACAGCTCCTAATCCTTCTATGTAATGCCGTTCCCTGATGACATAGCTCAAGAACATGAGGACCATTCTTCTAACCAGCACATAGGCCCACCTCTTCAATTTCCTTCCTTAGTTCTGCACCTTCACTCCAGACTGCTGCCTTGATCACAGTTGTCTTTGTAAAGTTCGTCCTTCCCTACATTTTTACAGAGCACACAGGATGAAAACAGACAAACCCTGCCCCACTATTCCACTCTGTCTGCTGGATCAAACCAAGACCTGATCTCACAAACCAACTGGGGATTGTGAAACCTGGTAAAACTGGTGTTGTACCACAGACTTTACCTGGGGGAATGTCTCTCTCTCTCTCTTTCTCTCTCTCTCTCCAGAAAGAGAACCTATGACAGACCAAATTACCAACTGCATAAAGGTCCTTGGAGTCCACCAGGTTTTCTTTGGGGTTGCTAACAGAGTTGTGATGAGGAGTTACTTACAGGACCTGGGATGGATTCATAGCAGCTGCATCCCTGCAGAGCCCACGTCAGCACAGGCTGTGACTCAGGGGACAGCACAGCTGAAACTGCACAGGTTGCAGGCTAGGGACAGGTCTGGGGTCTTCTCTGAAACTGGTCTGTCATATGCTTCTTCTACAGCCTGGGTGAGTCCTCTAATACTTCTGAGTTCAGCTTTCTCCAACACAGGAAGTTGCTTGTTTCTCAGTCTCAGGGAGGAAGAGAGAAAAGGAGAGAGGACACCAGGAGCCATCCACACAGCCACACTGCCAGCAACGCAGTAAGACAGAAAGAAAGGAATATAGAATAGAGAAGTTAAAAGTCCAGAGGCAAAAGGTAGATTGGATAACTTAAGTTTAAAAAAGCTAAGGAAAAACCAAGCTAAGGCTGTGTATTCAGAAGACAGAAAAAGTTTTCATGCATTTATTTGGAAACTGGTGGATGGGCCCAAAAAGTGAAAAGAGTATAAAAGATCAACTACAGTAAACAGCATAAAAAACATGCAATAAAATTATAAAATAAAATAAAAATGCCATCTGACCATGAGAGTAATAAATATGAAGTCAATAATAGAAAGATATATGGGAAGCCGCCCACCATTTCAGTGTCAAGGAACATGATTCCATACAGCTATGTGTTAAATAGAAAATTGATAGGAACACTAGGAACATGAGAAAAAAAACACAAGATTTTAAAAACACAATGAAAACCCTAATCCTATAGCAAGTGCGTAGAACATCTTAGCAGGTGTCTCAGACCAGCTCTGGTAACCCACACTTCCAATAAATAGTGAGCATAAATTTCTGTAATGATGGAAAGGTTTAGATTGATCAGTCTTTGGAGCCTGATATTCTGGCTAAAACTCACCTGATAGGTCATGAGCACACACCCCGGCTTATGTGTCAGTGACTGGGCCTTCTAGGTTAGGGGGACAATAAGCAATCACAGAGACACGTTGGTGGAAACTCGAGAGCATTTTCTAAATCTGAAAGTCAAGTTTATGCAGTCATTGACAATGTGGAAAACAATGTAAAGAAGACTTAGAGACTACAGCCCAGAATTAGTTTCAAAATGTATTGGAGAGACTCAGGAGAAATATGAACACTATGCTCTAGGGAAAGATGGAAAATCATTTTAAAACCTCATCAAACTGAAATCTATGAGAGAAACAACTGAACTATTATACCACTTGATATAATTATGTGTATTACTATACTAACATATGCCATAAGTGTTTTAGTATATAATAAATGGCTCTATATTAAATGTAAAAATATATTACAACTGTGACGTATACCATCAGAGAGACTCGAGAGAAATTTGAACACTATGCTGTAGGGAAAGATGGAAAAATCATTTTCTCACCTCATGCAACTAAAATATCTAACAGAGAAGCAACTATAAAATATTACACCACACAAATGAAGGTGAACATGAAAAAGGCACATGTGTACACATACCTAAAGATGTACTGCAAGCAGAATTCCCCAGTGGTGGATAGATGTTGTAGTTGTCCCCATGCAGAAACTCAGTTCAGAGAGCAAGAACCATGACTGAACGGCATTGATTGAAATGTGGGGCTTCTGGAAAGGATGAGGCCCATTCTCTTCCCATGTTCCTCCTTGTTACACAGTGACTGTTTCAACAGAGGCCCAGCAGCATTGCTAGGCAGTGCAACTCACAGAAACAGGTGATGTGTTCTGAAAGTTTTCAAATTACAGGTCCTGGAGAGGGGGCAGATTACAGACAATGATTGACAGGCTTTCTTCTCATGACTCAAAAGATGAAACGTGAAGTCATCTCTTCAGTTTCTGTGTACTTCTATCTCTCTGTCTGCCTGTCTGTTCATCTGCCAAAGGTATTTTTTTTTTTTTGCATACAGCTGACTATCACACAGGTTGGCCAGTCCTGATGGTGCAGCAACCCTCTAGAACAGTGAGCTATGACATGCTTTTTCCATATGCTCATTTACTAAAATGAGCCTAAAACCCAGGCCTCTCACTCATATGGATAGCTACATTGGTGTAATTTTCAAATCAGCAAGGAGTTCATTACTGAATCTCAAAAGATGAATGGGCATCAGAGGCTGTGCATTCATTTCTTAGGTCTGCTAGAATTTGAAGATAAAACATGCTGTGTGCTGACCCAGGTAAAGTTCTCCTGATGACCTGATAATTATGATATATTGAGATTTGTTGTGTAGACAATAAACAAGCATAGATGACTATTGATCTATAATTCGTAATAAATACCTATATAACTTAAAGACTAAGACAATAAAAAACTGTCCAACAAATGAGGAAAATTACCTCAAAATGTAAACAATGTGTAAGTATCTGGAACAGAGGTAGAAATGTACAATGCAATATGATAATATATATCAACATATAAAAATGTTTTGAGCAGAGGTAGAAGCATGCATGCATACAGTATTCAATATAAGTTTGTATCAATATACACGAATCTATACAATATAATTGCTTATAAATAATAACTCACAAGTATTCACTCTATTACTCACTATTATTATTTGTGAAAGTAAGATCACACTAATCTATTATCCCATCCAATTTTCCCTTTTTAAAAATGATCCCTGAGCCTATAAAATTTCCCCCCAACCCTATACCAATTATAGTCAACCCCTAAATGATGTCCCTTACCCTGAGAACAAACTTTGTTGGGAAAGGGGAGGTCACCTTCCAGAATTATTTCTAGCTGTCATGGGGGTGATGTTCACAGTATCAAGAGACACTGTGAAAGTAAAATGGTAGATAAGTTCCAAGATTACTGTCTGGTATAATTGCAAATAGTCTCTGACTATTTGGTGGAGGTCTGTCCAGAATGTGGTAAAAATGTGCACCATTTCAGCTAACCAAGTTGGAACCATCTTGTGCAGCTGGTACCCCAAACGTCTTTGTTTATTATTATTATTATTATTATTATTATTATTATTATTATTATTAATTAAAATTTCCACCTCCTCCCATTTCCCTCCCACTACCCCACTCCCTCTCCCCCTCCCTCTCCAGTCCTAAGAGCAGTCAGTGTTCCCAGCCCTGTGGGAAGTCCAAGGTCCTCCCCCCTCCATCCAGGCTTAGGAAGGTGAGCATTCAAACAGACTAGGCTCCCACAAAGCCAGTCCATGCAGTAGAATCAAAACCCAGTGCCATTGTCTTTGGCTTCTCAGTCCGCCCTCATTGTCGGCCACATTAATGAGGGCCGACTGAGAAGCCAAAAACGTCTTTGTAGTAGCACTATAAGCATCATAATGTCATAGCAACCAGGTGGGGTTGTGGTTGTGAAGCTCCATCTTCTTCCTGGAAACTTCAAAGATTACTGAAGGAAAATTAATTGTTCATTGTGGAAAACTTAAACATTTTTATATAGACTTATACAGACATATATATTCAATAAAAGGTATGATAAAGACAAAAATAGATATGAAGAAAAGTAAAATTTTTCTAAATTCTTTTTTCTTTCCAGATGGCTCTTGACATGAGATAGAAACCCTGGATTTTTCTTTTAACAATGTGCTTGGATTTAGAGAAGGACAGAGCTGTTGTCTAACACCAAAACCAACTCTATATATTCATATATATTCTATCACCTGTCCTTACAAGTCATATTCATTTATCTTGATGTTCCTTATTGAATAGTTATTTTTCCTTCTGTCAGCATCCAAACATCCAGGGTCTCTTGAATTTTTGAAGATCAGTATTTTCCTGCAAAGACAAAAACATAACCTTGCTTCACACTATATGCTTTCTTTACCAAGTGTATTGTTATCACCATTGTGGATGAGCTGTCATTTTTCCTTTTCAAGAGGTTTCTCCTTTCCAAACCAAATCTTTATTAATTTTGATGGTATCCGTTGTTTTTCTTCTCCTGTGGAAACAAGAGAAAACCCCTTCCCCAGTGCAGCACATCTGGTTTCCATTGTGAGGTCAGCACCTCCTTGAAATAAACCAGTTGGTTTAATTCAGAAGATTTTTCTATTATCCAATGTCTCTCTGCTGCTGTTGTCCCTTTCTGATCAGCTTTAAGAAAATTCAAGGTTAATAAAGCATTCTGTAACCTATTTCTGGGGGCATTTTCCACCCCTTTCTATTTGTTTAACATATCCTTTATAGTTTGATTTGTTCTTTCTATAACTGTTTGACCAGTATGATTGTATGGTATACCTGTAACATGCTTAATATTATAATAAGCAAAAAACTGTTTCATTTTCCTAGAGACATATGCTGGACCATTATTTGTTTTTATTTGTGCAGGTATAACCATGATGGCCATAACTTCTAATAAATGTGTGATTACTAAATCAGCCTTTTCTGAGCATAAAGCAGTTGCCCACTGAAAACCTGAATAAGTGTCAGTGGTGTACATATTTTAATTTTCCAAATTCTACAAAGTGGAACACATCCATCTGCCATATTTCATTCCTTTGAGTACCATTTGGGTTAGTTTCTGCACGTAGTAGTGTTTGGTTATAGACAGAGCAAGTAGGGCATCTCTTTATAATCTCCTTAACTCGTTGCCATATAATAAAAAACTAGCTCAAAATTGAGAAATGGATGGTTATTTATTTATGGGTAAACTCACAAATCAGAATTCTCTACTTGAATGGAGAACAGAGACAGAATCCAGCAGTCTTCAATGTCTTAGGTATTTCTACTTTGTAGGGCTACAACACTTAGAGACAAAGTTTCCACAGTAACTTCCTAGACAGAGATACAATGTATTGTATCAACTTCACAAAATCCCCATTTCTGCTGGCCAACCTTCACCAAGGAGGGCTTCCATAAAAGGCATACTCTCTAAACCCTTGACTGTAACAGGCCTTCTCTAATTGATTGCCCTTCACAGACTCCTTCTAAGATAATGGGCCATCATACATACTGGATCTACATTTTTCCTTATTGCTCAGGGCACGCCTCAATTGTTCTTTCTACCATAGTATTTACCACTGAACAAAGTTGCATATATTGTTACTTTTGGTCAGCTTTTCATCTCAGGCACTTTGTAGGAAGGGTGGGTGGGCATGGTAGCAAACACCTACTACCCCAGCCTTTAGGAAGCTGAGATAAATGACTTGACTTCTATGAATCTAGGCCAGTCTGGGTTGCAGTAGAAGACTTTAAACTAAAACCAAAATAAACCAAACCCAGAAACCTAGTTGAAAAAAAAAAGACTATCGAATAAATGCTTATGAAAACATGCACACGCGTGCCTGCACACACACCCACACACAATAAAAATATTACCTAAAATTTTCTAGGGAATGACTTTGAGATGGATGGAGTTTTAGAAAGAAGAATTTGAAATTAACTTTGATTGTCTTGGGGGCAAAGTCTTAGGTTACCACAAAACTCCTGGCCTTTCTTTCTCTTTTAGTCTGCTTTTGGCCATTTCACTTTTTGTTATTCAAGAGTTGGGAAGAAAAGGGGAGAAGATGAAATTCCTGTCTGCTAATGAAGCTGTCCTTGAAGCAGGTTGACTAAATCAGTTCTCAGGTGGTGGTCTGAGGTAATCAATAGCTCTCACTAACCAGACAGTCCCTGCTGCACACACCTGAACCAGTGCCTGTGCAGGCAGCACATGAAGCTTATTTTATGAACTCATTTCAACTCTGCAAGACTAGTGAGCACCTGTGTCCCCAAAGCACATGTCAAGCCAAGTACCTCGATTTGGGAGTTGGAGAGCTGGTGTCTACAGTAACAGAAGAAATAGGTGGTGATCTGTTTCTCTGGGGCCATTTTATGGACCTGAGGAAAGAAGTTCCTCAGTTTATTAAAAGTTTATTTTCTGAAACTAGTTCAAAGACCATTTGTTAGGTGAAAAAATATTCAATCAAGGATAATCTTACTTTTTAGGGGAAGGCATTTTAATATGGAATTTACATCTGTGATAGATTTACACTTTAGGCCTCAGGCAACTATAGCAGAGAAAGGCCCCTGTAGCCTTCATTAGAGACAAAACAAACAGTACAGCTGGGGGCAGAGCTTTCCTTTCCTTCCCCACTGCTTTCCCATTCCCCTCAGAGCAGTGCTAGGCTTGCCTCACCATCCCTGAAATCACACCTTACTGCTTTATCCCCTTTCCCTTCATAGCAAACTCTCCTGTTGGCATCAACATACATACTGCAAATTTAAAGACTTTGAATTGTTTTGTCTGCCCCCAGCCTTGGAGAAAAGGGGAACCATAAACCCCCATAAAGCCAGTTTGCAGCTGTCCATAAGCAGAAAACTGTCAATATCGAAATACAATACTAGCTTGATTCAGATTTGACGCTCTGACAAAGGCAGCGATTGTATTTAGGAGAGCTCAGCCATCTTGCATGAGAACATTAAGAGGGAGGTCATGTCTTATTTCCTAGGCACTTTACCAGGAATTTCTAAGTTGAGGTAGAACTCCCAGTGTCCCTTAGAACAAAGGCCTAACCTGCTGAAGATGTCAATAGAAATCCCATTTAGGATGTGGAACAGTCTCGAAAAGGGTAAATTAAACTCCATACAAGCTTAGAACTTCATTTCTTATTTTTCTTGACCTGTGGTATGTATGAATTCAGACCCTGAGTAGCAATTGGTGTGAGACCAGAACCCACTCTTTAATGACTGAATGCACACATTTAACCAGTACGTGGTCGGTTCCCTGCTCTGAGAATTGTCTTTGGCAAAAAGAAAATGGCAAAAGCAGACAAAGAAATCTGTAATCTTCTCAGTCGTACAAAGAATGTTAGGGCCAGTGTTTGGCTCAGCTGGGAAGCAGTAGCAACAGGATAGGCGAAGTTTGCCTGTGGCTGCCTTGGCCAAGCCATTCCATTGCTGCTTTCCAGCTGGCAAAGACCTTGTCAAGGCTTGGTCGCCTGAGCCTGCCTGGCAGGGGAGTTGGCAAAGGCAGAGGCAAGGGCACCTCAGCAGTTTCACCCTTCCCAGTGTTGACTCACCCTCACATGAGCACTGCCTTTGCAGGCCTGGGCCTTTCCTCAGGACTACTACTTGCTAGACTGAGGGGAAAAGGAAGAAAGAGAGAGGGGGGGAGGGGGAGGGGAGGGGGAAGGAGGGGAGAGGGGAGAGGAGGGGAGAGGGGAGAGGAGAGAGGAGAGAGGAGAGAGGAGAGAGGAGAGAAGACAGAAGAGAAGAGGACAGGAAGGAGGGAAGGCCTTTCTCTCCAACTTCTTTGCGCCTCTGGGAGAGAGGAGAAAACTTAATCCCGGAGTGGGGTTGGGGGGAGTGGGCAGCTGACTCGGAGCGACTGGTGGGGAAATTTGTGAGCATCTCAGTCTGAAATAAGGACTGCGAAAGAGGAAAAAAAGGGGAGAGAAAAGGGAAAAAAAAAGGAGGGAGAAGAGACTTGTATTTTTTCCTCCTTTTGGGTGCACACGAGAAAGGGTGTGGTGGGCCCTGTGGACTGGAACCGGCCAAGTGACCATGCTGGACCTTTGCCGGCGGCGCGTAGGAGGCGAAATGTTTTTGCTCCCCCCGCCGCGCCCGCCCCCAGCTTGTAACTTTGGTTGGTTTTTTTTTGTTTTTGTTTTTGTTTTTTTTTTTTTTTGGGGCGGGGCGCGGGGGGGGGGGGGGGGGCGCGGGGAGGGGAGGGGGGGGGGGGGGGGGGGGGCGGGGGGGGGAGGGAGAATGCGGCAGAGCCACAGCTTCCCCAGGAAGTGCAGTCTTCGGGCAACGAACCCTTGGAGGACTGGGTTCGGCCGCGGCGGGAGGACAGGAGCCCCGGGGCGCCGCCCCTGCAGCCCCCTCCGCCCGCGGGACCTTCGCGCCGGGGTGCACCTGGAGAGTCACGGAGCAAGCGCAGGAAATCCAAGTGCCTGAGATCAAGACAGGGAAAAGAGGCCGGGTCACTTTGCTTCCCGGCTCGGCTGCGGAGAACAGACCGGCTGAATGTGGCAGAGGCGCCTCTGGCCAGCTTCACGGGCGAGCACAGCAGAGCTCGCGGCGGGGCCGGTGGGCGAGAGTTTGCCTGCGCTCTCACCGCTCGCCAACCCGCGCTCCCCGCCGCCGACTGTGAAGAATTTTCATGAGATCGCCTCCAATTTCCGCCGTTTGGGGAAAGTTACACGGAAAAAGAAAGAATGAAAGAAGGAAGGTAGGAAGGAAGGAAGGAAGGAAGGAAGGAAGGAAGGAAGGAAGCCTTGTAAGGCAGGAAAGTGCTTATTAAAGGGGTGCTGCCGCCGCAGGCCCGGCTTTGGAGTCCCCGCGGAGAGGCGACCGCGTTCTTATCCGTGCAGCGCGGGCGGCGCGGGCAGTGCGGGCGCCGGCTTCTAGGAGAGGCGGCAGCGGCGGCCGGTGCTCCTGGCGCCTGCAACTTGTTTAAGGTCCTCCGCGGTGGCCAAAGCCCTTGAGCCGGGTCCGCCTCGCGCCGCTTACAGGCGGCCACCCGTCTGCCTTTGTGCACTCAGAGGCTGCCGTCTGGTGCTCGCTCGCGTCCTGAGCCAGACGGGGCGGCGGTGGGTGCAGTGGCGGCAGGGAAAGGAGAGGCCGGCAGGGTGGGGATGGGAAAGCGCAGGAGCCATGGCATCCGCCCCGCACCCAGCCAGCCGCCTACCGGAGAAGGAGGCAAGATTGAGAGAGAGGCGGGCCAAGGGGAGCTCTGGTGGAGGGAAAATTTCAATCGCCTCCTGAGGATGGGGAAAAAAAAAAGCCAAGAAGACCAAAATAAAGGGGGGGGGGATTCTGGGGTTCAAACCCCGCAATCGCGGCCTACCTGCGGCCCTTAGAGAAAGTTGATCAGCCCAGCGGTTTGCTCTGCGCCCAACCCGTGCCAGGTGGAGGTGTCTATCTGTCCTTTCTGTCTGTCCATGCCGGGAGGAGAGATAGAGCCGCACTGCCACGTCGCCTGAATCAGGGCTCCTGCCCCACCCTTCCACTTGCCCCACCCTTCCACTTGCCCCACCCTTCCACTGGGGACACGAAGGGTTCTGTTTCCCTTCTCTGTCCTGCAGCCACTGCCCAGCTTCCCTTTCCTCCTCTTTCCTTGCTGATTTTTCTTTTCTGTTTCTTTCGGGGGAGGGCGAAAATTGGAGTCTACTTCTGCAGCTTCCTTGGGCGCCTTTTACAAGGATTCCCCACCCTTCTTTTGACCTGCCTTCTGCATCTCTTGGCCTGCTTCTTTGCCACCTGGGGGCCAAAGGCGGAAATTTGCATTTGAAGTCACCCAAAGTGCCCAGGAACAAAAATATATTTTAAAATACTGTTCTAAAATAAGGAAATCGGAGGCGACAAATAAATACGTGTGGGTGTGTGTGTGTGTGTGTGTTGTGTTGAATTCTCAATTCGATTTTTGTAGACGGTTGACTGTGATGTCTTTATTGTTGTGGGGAGCCCTGGAGGCATTCTACTGGCTACCTCGGTTGCATGGAATTTTGCGGGAGTTTTTTTTTTTTAAAAAAAAAAAAAAAAAACACTGACTGGAGTAGAGAACATTTCTCCAGAAAGTTTCAAGCATAACAAAATAGAGAACCTTCAAGGTCAAGGGGGCCCTCTAGTGGTAACACGCATCTTAAGTTCGCCAGGCAGAGAGCAAAGTTTGGCCTTTACTTGTAGCTACCTAGTCCCTTTAGACTTGCAAGTATTTGGAAGACCCCAGTTAGCAGCTGGATGTGGGAACCCGTGCTGATCAGAAATGTTTTGTAAATCAGAGAACAATGAAGTGGGAGTTTTCGGGCCCTGTGAATTCTGCTCTTTCTTCCTTACATTAAAAAATAAATCCATTTTTTCTGAGGTGTGAGATTGGCTTACCTCAGAAAAAAAGAAATTTGTTTTATAATTATCATTGTCTGTATCTTTCGCCGTTTACTCCCCTCTAAGGAGCCATAGCAGATAGCTTAATTTGGAATGTTAAAGAGAAATCAAACAAAACGTGCTTAAAATTTGGCAAAAACAGAAAAGAAACGTTTTAAGTTTGCTTTTTTTGAGCCGATCATTTTGTTCTCTGATCCATGTTATTTCAGGCTAACAAGCAATTCACTAACCTACACAACATTCATAGAAAGTATTCTCATTGTAAGAATGTAATTTTGGTTCACTGAATAAAAAGTTATTTCGGGGATATTTTGAATGTTTTTATATATGAAACACACAATATATGTTTTAAATGAGTTTATGTACAAAACATATATATGACACACAGACACACACACACATATATATATTTATATATGTTTATATTTTAAGCAACTTACATACCTATTTCACAGTGTGTTTACTGTAATGAGTTAAATGGGTTACATTTCTCAGTGTGTATACTGTTCAACAATCTTGAATTTTAAAGGTGAAAACCAGAGAAATGAAGGTTGTGTCAAACCACCCCTGTATCTGCGCCTGTATGTCATACATACAGGAGAGAGACAGGGTCCACCTATGTAGCCCAGGCTGGTGTTGAACTTACATCTTTGTGCCAAAGCATCCCCAGTGTTTGGGCAGCAGTACTCTTATTTACAATGAGGAATTTATTGTGTGAACTTAGAATATGGGGATGATGTGAATGATTAAAATTAATTTTGCCTCATGTGGTTGACTTTGTTCTAACACAGAGAGCGATGCCGTGTGGACTGATGCGTGTTGAGTTTGAATTTAGATTACAGATGTGACGGCTTAAGGAGAGGGCTGTGATTTCTTTTTCTTGCTTTCTTTTTCTCTTTTAAAATCAATGCTAGATCCTTAGGAGATTGGGGGTGCTCAGCAGTTGTAAAGGCCAACAGATGGTTCTGCCATTCACTACCACCTTGAGGGAAGAGTCACTTGTTGCTACCATTTTTTTCTTATATACCAGGAATGCTGAACACTGAGTGCAGTTGGAAATCAAGGAGAGTGTGTGCCAAAGTTAGCAGGGAAAAAAATCCTATGTTTGTGGGAACTGCTTTGAACATATGAACAAGTAGACACCAAATGTGCTTGAAAATTGAGGAAAAGTGAGACTGTGCTAGGGTGTGTGTGTGGGTGCATGGGGAGGCCAAAAGTTAGCAGGGAAAAAAATCCTAAGTTTGTGGGAACTGCTTTGAACATATGAACAAGTAGACACCAAGTGTGCTTGAAAATTGAGGAAAAGTGAGACTGTGCTAGGGTGTGGTGTGGGTGCATGGGGAGGCCAGAGACCAGCTGGAGTTGTTATTTGCCTTCCTATATTTCTCTCCACCTTTATTTTTTTTTTTTTGAAATCTGATAGCTCTCTCTGAATATGGCTCACTGATTGGCTAGATTGGCTAGCCAATGAATTTCAGGGCTCCTTTCGTGCTACCCTCCCTCAAGTGTTCAAGTTACAGATGAAGGGTGTTTTTGTGGGAGTGCTCAGAATCTGAACTCATGTCTTCCTCTTCATGCTTCTGTGGCTGTCACTTTAGTGACCTCTCTCCACAACCCCTTGTTACTGAATTCTTTTCTTTTGGTGTGTGTGTGGGGGGCATGTGTTTTGAGGCAGGGTTTCTTTGTGTAGCCCTGGCTGTCCTGGAACTTTCCCTGTAGACCAGGCTGACCTCTCACTCACAGAGATGCTCGTGCCTGGGCCTGAGTGCTGTGATTAAAGGCCTGTGCCACCAGGGCCTGGCTGTTGTTGGATTCTTAATTAGCATTTCAGCACCCCCTTTTCTACTGACAGCAATTTCTTTCTTTTGTATTGAAAAAGTGAGAAAACCAGAACAAAGTGGTTATGAATGGCAGCCTTGATAAATATACAATGGCATGGAAGAGCTGGGAACGTTAAATGTTTGTGGAGTCTGAGATACAATGTTGTAGCTAAAATTTATGGTAGTGTGGGGAAAGGGAGTTAATTAATAAACAAGTAATAAACATTTAAGTGTCTCCTATGGATTAAATCCAAGAAGGCATTACTTATTTCTGCCAGATACCATATCTTAGGAATATAGCATAGACTTGTGAATTTTTGAAAACATTTCTATGGGTATATATAGTTTTGTGTAGTTTTTGTCTAAAAAGATCTCTTTGCTCATCTTGGGGGGTACTGGCTTAAGCCCAATAAATAGTCCAGGACTTACCTTTAAGATTCAGACAATTTGATGGGGGAAACCACAGTTAGGTTAGAATATATCAATAGTGTTTTCTGTTATTTATTCTGTATCTACTCTTTAATGTTCCTCCTTTCCCTCTGGCTTTTCTTCCTCCTCTGTCTTTAGTATTAAAGCGTTTGCTAATTGGACTGGAGAGGTGGCTCAGAGGTTAAGAGTCCTGGCTGCTCTTGCAGGCTGCCTCAGTTCAATTCCCAAAAACCATATTGAGCTTACATCTGTAATGAGATCTGGTGCCCTCTTCTGGTGTGTGAGCATACATGCAAGCAGAGCACTGTATACATATGAGGTAAATCTTTAAAAAGAAATACTTTGCTGATTCCTGTTTGGCAGAAGCAAAAGGAAATGAAAGTTAACTTTTAAATTTTATTTATTTATTATTAGTATTCCCCCCCTCTCTCTCTCTCTCTCTCTCTCTCTGTGTGTGTGTGTGTGTGTGTGTGTGTGTGTGTGTGTGATAGCTATGATCCTACAAGTGACTCACTAGGTCACTGTTACCATTTACTTCTGGGATCTTCTCTCAATTCTGTCCTGTCTACCTCTCATTATAGTAGATATGGTACCCAGCTACTGATGTGTAGGGCCCCGGGTCTACCCTTGCTCCTGGGATGCATCTTGAGGACAGTTTCTGGTCAGCCAGCTAAAGCATCCTGTTTGTTCCTGTGTACTGCACCAGCGTGGGCTGGAATCAAGAATCTCGGTGGAGGGTGTCCAGGTTGAATGAATTCACAGAGCACAAGGTTGAAGTGGGACAGCTTCTTTATTGTTCTGCTGGGGCTAGCTTTTATACCATGGCACCAAATGAGGAGGGGGCTGCGAAGGGAGTGTAACCTGACCTCAGCAGGGATCAAGGAAAGGTCACCATGCACTCAAAATTCCTTTCCCAACTCCAGGAGCAGAGGGAATTTATTATGTTTTCTTTGCAGATAAGCACCTCAAATGGGGGCAGGGATATGTAACTCGGGGCTGCAGTTCCCACAATTCCCCCTACTTTATTTTATAGTGAGGGATCCTGTCTTAGGTCCTGCGAGGTAAGTACCTTCCCTTACCCATCATAGGGCCCCCGATGCCCTGTCTTAGGTTGGGGGGGGGTCTCCTCAATGGTTGCCCGTCCTTGGGGACCCTCATTTTTTCAGCATCTGGAGCCACAGCTCATGACTTCCGGGAGAGTCATGGGCCAGACTGAGTAACACCTGACAGTGTACAAGCTCAGTCATGGTGAAGATGTTTAGGACTCGTTTTAAGAGGAGCAGGCCTACTGCCACCCCTATTAGTCCCAAGATCCCCAGGGATAAGGCACCTCCCCATTGCTGTGTCCAACCCCCATTCTGGGCCATGGTATTCCACCATCTCTCAGCAAATACAGGTTTGACACGAGTTTCATTAATTGCAATAATTTGATGTACCAAAGAGTGGGTAAAGTTTGCAAAGGAATCATTCCAAGGCCCCCGAAGGTAAGCATTAAGGCATTGCACCTCAAAGGACATATTTTTCACTTCCATAAGGGTCACACAGGCAGAATGATAAAAATGAGAACAAGAGGCTTGTTGCACCATCCACAAAACATTAATCTGTTCCTGTAATAAGGTTGGTTGCTGATTTAAATTTGACATCCCCAATTGAATATGTGAGGCAATGGTACTTTGAGTCTCTAAAGCCTGGATTACACGGGCAGCAAGAGTGTTAACAGTCTCTGCAGTAGGTGCATTCTGGGACACGGTGATTCCCGCAACTGTGGCAGCTGTGGCTGATATGGCAATAGCTGTGATGACTGCAGCGCTGATCCCAAAGTCTCTTCTTTCTCGATACAAGATAA